ATTGAATGATACACTTTATTGAAAATGCAAAAGAAACTATGAGCTATCAATGAATTATGGTACCGGATTCGTCGATTCGCTGTAAACATCGTGTTCCTCTTCCTTGAACTGGGATGCCTGTGGCTTCAAACCTTTTGCCGATGAGTTGAACTGTTCGATAATCCTGAATTTCTGAAGTGGATAAACCACCACAATAGCAGTAAAAGTTTCACTTACCATTCGTAATCAAGCGACAATAACATCAATCCAGTACATGCAAGCATAAAATTGAAATTGAACAGTTTCCGCAGAGGTGGCCATATATAAGGCCGATGTTGATAGACTGTTGTTGAAAAGTCCGAGTATCCAGTGCCGCTCTTTCTGAGTAGACGAACGTGAGTGAGAAAAAACGAACTGATTGACGAGCAGTTTTTGTAAGGCCCTTTCTAACTCAGTTACAAGGAGGGAAGTGAACTCTTGTTCACTGCGGCTGGCGCTCTTTGAATTCCCTTCCCTTGACACGCCCATTATCCGCAACGAACAAGACTGTAGTTTATCGGTCACACATGTTGTTGCTATTGATAAGGAAACAGTGAGATAACTTGTGCTATGCCTCAATTATTGAAAGCCTGCTAATTATGGGTGAGCTATACAAGGGGGGGGGGGGCAAAAAAAAGTCACTTTTCTTCATTGACTTTCGAGGCGCTATAAGTTACACTTTATCAAATTCTGATCGGACATTTTTACCACCATATTAAAGAGCATATTAAATACTATCATGACACTCCGCCACAGCCTTCTGGACGAGCGCCATCGAGAGATTCTGGCACGCGACCGCGATGTGGTGCCTGAGATCAGCGAGATAGTCGATTTCTCCGCCACCCTATTGAACTCCGCCCGAACCGGGTAATTGAGGGGATTCAGGTCAGGTGACCTACTTGGATATTCCATCTTCTTTAGGTACTTAGGCGAGAGTTTCTCCAATGCCCTTCGATTCCATGTGGTGGCACCCAATGCTGTAGCAGTAAGTTTCCAAGAAGGTACGGGCGACGACATGTGAGGAGGATATTCTTCACGAGTTGCTCAATGTAACCGCCAGCGCTCACCTTCAGTCCGGGGCGTCCGGTCCATACCATCAACCCCCTGTGGTGAAGATAATGTTCTAGACCGTGGCGACGTTGTCGGAGCTGCTCGATGTTGGAGGTCATCCAGATCGAGAGGTCCCCAGTAGCTATCCATGGGTGACTCCATACTAGAAGTTTCGCAGCTGTTTGGAGGTGACATGAATTCCAAAGGTCTTCTCCAGTCAGGCTGCGACTGGAGATGACTTCATATTTTGGTGTACATGAAGGTGATGGGCGAGAGCCAGCTCCTGCTTATCGAGGAACATCTTGGGTATCTTCCGCCCTGGTACTCGTATCCACGTCTCTGTCTGGGCAGCGAAAACTTTGCTGATATGTGAGAACGCATGGGCGCCGCACTGAACCCCCTCCCGAAACGCTCCATCATCCGTAGTGAACAAGACTGCAGTTGGCTCACTCACCATGGACTATTAAATAGGGTCTCGAGTGGACCTTCGAAGAGGGGTACTTCTGCGACCTACTTAATCGCTTGTTCATGCTTACAAACTAGATTCATGTTGGGTTCTTAAAGGGAAAGCCTCTGGTCCTTACCCAGTTGAGAAGGCAAAAGGACCTGGACGAAAACATAAGGCGGCAGAGGATCGGAGGGGGAGAGAGGAAAAAAAGAAATAGAACCGGAACGTGTGTTATGGCGAATTCTCTGAAGAGGAAAAGCCGGACCCCATTCGAAGGCATTGAGGTGAGTCAGGTGTAGGGGTCTAGGAACTCAAATGCGAGAAAACCAACTAGACCGATGCAAAGAAAGGGAAAAGTCATCGAGACAACATGCATGGCCGTTATGGTAGACAAATATGCAGTTATGGAACAAACCTGTCTGTATAATGAAATACACTTCGTTTAGGATTACCAAACATCGTGAATGACTTTACAGGATCTAGCTCAGCTTCCTCAGGTTTAATGTTGGTGGCTTTCTGACCCTCGGAAGAGGAAGTCGGAAGCGAACTTAACCAAGCACGTTGAGGGCGGACGAATAGACACCTGCATCGCAACATGGCACCCACTCTCGAACAAGGCCGTTTCACCTAAAGTTGACAACGAGATGATTCAAAGCGGTGGTATGAGAAGCTTGCTAGGAAATTGTAAATGTTGAATATTTAGAAAACGCAAGTAAAGGTGAAAATTTTTTT